CAATTCCCCGAACGGCGTTGCAGAAACAGAGGAAGACCTCAAAGAGAGAAAGGTCGCTCTGCAGGCTGAGCTGGAGGAGCTTCACTCGGAGATCGCGTCTGTTGCTGAAATGGTCGTCGAGCACGAGATACGTAAGCCAATGACTGAGATGAAGGAGCGCAAGGATAGGGACAGAACACAGGCACGAACGGCTTGGCTGAATTATGTGAGTACATCTCAAGTGTCATTGAATTATTGCTAACAGATCAGGTGCTGTCAACCCTTGAGTACATGGGCAAACGTCTCAGCATAGTCACCACTGGCACAAAGGACACTGATGAGTTCCAACAAGCACTCGGGCACGTCCAAGCAGCAGCGACGAAGCGTATACCCGAGACACATCCACCGGTTGGAACGCCGGTATTGAAGCGCATGAGGTCTGACACGTCGGCATTTACACCCATGGTGAAGCTCAAGCCTACATCATCGCTCGACCTTCCGGTCACACTGCAAGACGCGCTTCGTTATGCGGGCATTTCATTCAGTCACGACAACATTGAAAGCCTGCAGGATACTCTGCAACAAGCTCAGCTTGAGCGGAGCAAGAAGTTGCAGAGCCACTACGAGTCCACCGCAACGTCGGCTCATGATGTAATTGCCGAACGAACAAGCGAAGCAGATACCGACCTGAGGGCGATCTTGAGTGCGCTATATAAGCACGCACCATTCCACCAGGCTAGCTTGACGAATCCGGAACTGGACGAGCAGTTGAAGGCGATGGAGCTGGAGCTGGAGAACAAGGACCGCGAGCTGCTGGATGCAGAGGGCAGTGAATTGAGTTTGAGCGATCCCAAAGTTCGCGCGTTCATTGCGAAATACGGTAAATAAAGCAAGGTTTTGAGTGTCAAGTTTCAGGCAGGTCGGTGCGTTGTCGAGTGGAGCTGACATGGCGAGCTGGGATGATCCAGGCGCGTATCAGGACGGAGTAAACAAGACGTGGAGATGTTGTTTACCGCAGACAAATGGCAGTTTTTGGGCGAGGCCAGCGTGTGTCCTCACCGCTCTGGATCTCGGCGATGAACACGATCAGCTCGTCGGTTGCAAGCGATGGAAGCCACATGTTCGTGGGTGGAGCTCTGGGGGAGTTCAGACCTCGGGTTGGTCGCGAGGAGTGACGAGCTGCAGGCTAGAGCGCCTCCATGTGGCTAGCACCCAGCCCCCGAATAACACTAAACAGCTACGGCCCCTGTCAATGCTGCCCTGAGTAGCTGAGCGACAACAACTCTGCTCTCTTCACACCTCACCAAAGCGCCTATCCCCACTTTCCACGCCGGTTGAACCTGCGCGGGATGCTCGCGCCAGGTACAGGCAGAGACGCAGGCACCCTTTCACTCAATTGAACATCACCCTCACCAAGCCGGTAGCTCCCAGCAGCTGCCACCTCACCGCCCGTCATGGTTAAAGGAGAGATCCTCACGCTCGGTGCTGCCGCCGGTGCCCTTGGGGGTGCCTACAAGCTCGCCGAGTTCCTCACCAAGGCCAAGCGCGTCCGCGACGTTGGCCCATCCAACGCCGTCTACGTGCGCATCATTGGCCGCGTCCGATCCGACCTCGATGAAGTGCGACGCCTGCTGTCCATCCGCGAGATCCACGACATCCTCGAGGCCAACCCGGAAAAGTCAAAGTGGGTCTACGGATGCATGCGCGACGTGCGCGGCGCCCTTGAGAACATCACGCCGCACACGGAACGCGTCGCCGGCGATGTCGAGGACGGCCGCCGCATCGGCATGCGGCACCGCGTCTACTGGCTGCTCAGCGAGAAGGAGAAGCTCGAGAACCGGGAGAAGGAGCTCGCCATCGCGCATTCCAGTCTCAGCGAGGTCATCGGCTACCTGACTGCTCTGGAGCCAGTCGAGGAGCCCAAGAAGCCCAAGGCGACCGCCAAGGAGACGCACATCGACATCGACATCCATCAGGAACCTCCCCAGCCCCAGCCTCAGGCCCAGCCCACCCACACGACGCACATCGAGAGGGATGTCTGGGTCGAGCGTGATGGCGCGCCGCCGCGACACGTAGAGGAGCACCGCGATGTCTGGGTTGAGCGCGACCGTCAGCCCCCAGCTCACTACGAAGAGCGTCGCGACGTGTACATCGACGAACACCAGCGCGGACCCCAGCACTTCGACGACCGCGGCCCTGCTCCCCGTTACGACGCCCACTTCGAGCAGCAACAAGGTCGTGACGGCCGCTACGAGACCCACTACGACGAGCGCTACCAGCAGGAAGACCACTACCGCTCTCAGTACCCCATCGAGACCCAAGGCACCTACAACCCGCGCTTCCCCGAGCCCCTCGGCCGCCGCCCTGAATCGTACGAGGACCGTCTCCCCGAGCGCGACTCCTGGATGCAGAGCAACGCGCGCGCCCAACGCCCAGGTCAGTACGGCCCTCGAGCCCCTGCGTACGCCGAATACGGCGCCCCGCAACCCATTGGTGCAGCGCACTATTCGCGTAGGTTCCAAGGAGACGCGGGCTTTGGCGACGAAGAAATACTAAATCCACAACCAGTGCCGTTGGACAGGAACTACGCCGACCGCGAGGTGAGTGGTTACAACACTGCTGGCTACCCGCCCCGCCCCTACGGTAGCAAGCTCTAGCTGTTAGCACAAGGCTAACTTGCTGGGCAGATGTGGATTGAACAAAAGGAGGACTACCGCTTCGATCAGTATGGAAACAGGCTGCCGGATAGGCTCTTCCAGCCGGCTGTCCCTAGGCCCTATCGCAGCCGCATGTAAACAACTTGCAATACCTCTTTTGATTACGATCTTAATCTCCTTGTTACCCTGTCATGAGCCCTTTTTTGTCCTTTTGCTTTACGCAAGCATGTACACCCCCTGCGAAGCCCCGAGCCCGATCAATGTTTCTATGTAGCTGCCAATTTAAGTTGATACCTTTCCGACCGGTCGCTCTTTCCTCGTTCGCCTCGCGTGGTTTCTTGGCGACGCTATCGTCGTCGCTTCCTTTCAGAGATGCGACAAGCCCATGTTCTCACATTTGAAGATGGTATCATGGCTCCCCCTCGCTTCCGGCGTCACACCCACGGTACTCACTGTACCGCTACCAGACGACGAGACCACAGACCCTGAGAGATTGAGGGATGGATAATTCCTGTCCTGCTCACCTTTCTTTCTCGTCCTTTCGACTTTCAGATAAGTATTACAGACACCCACCACTAACCAAAAACGACACCAGACTACAAACCTCTCACCACCAACAACGCCATCATGGCGCCCCCCCGCACGAACCCCCTCAAGGAAGCCCGCTCCTGCCTCACCCTCTTCACTCACTCCCGCTCCACCCGCTGGCCCTCCCGCACCGGCCTCGCAACCGACATCCTCCTCTTCCTCTCTATCCTCTTCGCGGTCGCGCAACTCGGCTTGTGCGTCGCCATGGCCCATCGTCTACTCACCTCTCCCCAAAGCGAAGTCGACTGCTTGAATGTAGATGCCGGTAGCAACTTTGACTTCACCAAGTACGGGATATACGGGGATACGTATGGGATTGTGTTGACTAGCGACGTGAAGACGTTGCCGGTGCTGTATGCGAATGTGGATCGCGAGAAGTTCTGGCATGGGATGGATGTTGGGATTAACAGTACGGACCCGGGGCTGACGGGGCCCGAGTATCTTAGTGGGAAAGAGAGGGGAGGGGTCTTGTAAGTTTTGTCTTTCTGTCGTACTATCCCATATATGAAGACATGCTAACCAACATCCTCGCAGCACGATCATAGCAATCCTGATCTTCAACCCGCTTCTCCTAGTCGTCGATCTCCTCCTCCTCCTTCGGAGCCACTACCGCTCCGCACGCATCTCCAACCGTGCCGGCATGCTCTGGTCTACCTGCCTCGCCATCTACTTCGTGCTGGTCGCTTTGGGCACTGTTTGGATGAATACTTTCCCCAGTAGCAAGATCGATTATAGTTTGGAGCACACTGTGGCTCTCACTAGGGATTCGTGTTGGCAATACGATAAGACGATGTATACGTTGGATAGGTGGAGTAGATGGGCAAAGGGGATTGAACGGGGTTGTGAGGTTTTGGGCATGTTGGGTGCGGTTTGGTAAGTTTTATGATGATACGTGCATGGTGGTGTTGGGGAAATAAGCTAATCGGCAACAGCATGGCTATCTACTTCGGCTTCGCGCTCGCTGCCGCATACATCAACCGCAAGACTGACGCGCAGCAGTCTATGCGCCTAGACGATCTCAGCGGCTCTTCTTCCCTTACCCCCGCCCAACAAAACCTTCGCGGCTTTCCTTCTTCTGGAATCAGTGCTAATGCTACGCCCGTTCCATTGAACAATTTCGGTCTCACGTTCATAGACGGTACTCCAGGCCAGCAGCCGAAGACCGCGACATCACGAGCGTCGCCCGAGGACCTAGAAGCGCATGCAAATCCGTTTACAGATCCGGCAAATTTGATTAGGGAAGGGGCAGATGACCGACAAGTTGTGCCGCCAGAGCCGGCAAGACAATGGAGGTAGACGGGTGTGACAAAGGTGCCAGGAGGTGTACCGGCAGCGTGGATCGGTATTTACGACTTTTCCGGTATCAGTCTATACCCGTCGTGGATCCGGTCTTGTAGCTGACATTTCCATGGCAGATTAAAAATCTCTCTAGCTACTTAATTGACGATTTACGATATTTACTTCTTCTCACAGTCGACTATCCTCATGTCTTCGCTGACGACCAGGTCAACTAACTTCCCATTTGCCCCAAAACGGACATGAAAGAGACTTGGACAATGATGGTGTCGTCCGATACTCGACAAAGGACGTCGCTATCTACTTTGGTGTCTTTGTTTGTCGCTTCCCGTCCTCTTTTCAAGCATCTTCGGCTTTGTTCGAATAACTCGAGGAAGATGCTACATATCTTCGTCCAGCGCAACTTGTGTTCGCGAATTTTCAAAGCCGTTGTGGGATTGAAGGCGTCATTTACTAGCAAATAACCATAATCCGACAGTCATGTCCGACAATGAGGAACAAGGCCCGCCGGCCAGTAACGACAACAGCGATGGCACCCCAGCTCCTGCGGCACCCGCAGCACCAGTCGCACCCGTGCCAGAAACTAACGAAGATATCATAAGAAACTGGCTGAAAACGGAGTACCTCGAGCGCGAGTATTTAGGACTTCCTCTTCAGGTTACAATGCAGGAGTTCCTCAACATAATAGCAACTGCCTCTACCGACAATAATCTCAACAGCTGGTTGTTGAACAATCATTTGGACTTAACGACACTTCTCTTGACAGAGCTCAAAGCGAAATCCGATATACTCGTCATTCCCTCGGATCCCGCAACTACACTTGCCCACGTCGGCCTAGGAGTCACTGAGACAGAGTTCTTCAAGGGAGGTTTATTGACGAAAAACTGTTATGAGGCAATGAACAGAGAAGACATTCGATGGGTTGTTGTCCCCGTAACAGATGGTATGGCCGATCGAAATCAGGCGAGGCGTGATGAGGCTGAGGCTAGGGCTGCTGCGAGAGCTAAAGAAAATGAGACTTTGAACGATCCCCCGACAGAACAGGAAGAAGCGGCAGACCAACCAGAAATCAGCCCTCCCAACCCCGGTACGCACTGGGGTTTCATGATAGTTGATAAACAGAAGAACGATGCTAGATGGCTGGATGGTAATCTCGAACTGAAGAAACGTAACAGAAAATGGTCTATAAAAATGATGAGCGATGCAGGATGGGTTGCCGGGAAGATCTTGTGTGGATACGATCGGGTTATGGGTCTCGAGCGGGGAGGCTTTACCGCGGCCACACTCAAACACGTCCCTCATGACACCGAAGATAACGCTTACAGGGGCGACGGAGGCTCCGCATGCGGACCATGGGTTTACGCCATGCTGGAGTACATACTGAGGCGCCCGTTCATTCTGGAGAACCCGGGCGGACTTTACAACGCGTTCAAATGGAGACACTTGAACATGCATAAGAGATTGATGGCGTTCAACTCCCTGAAGACCCGCGAAAATATGCAGAAGATTATCCGGGACGCAGCAGAACCAAATCTAAGTATGGATGAGTTGCCATACAACATGACGGTGCGCATCTTGAATATTCTGAATCGTCCCGCGACTGCTCACCTATTGAGTGGAATTGATCGGTTTAATTTGCTCAACAGGTCTCAGCCTAAGCGTGGTCGCAATGGGGGCTCAGGAAAGGGACCGGGTGGTGGCGACAACGACGACGACAACGACGACGATCATGATGATGGCGATGGGTTTAGTCATATCGACAAAGATTTGCAAGCGGCCATCCTAGCAACTCTTGCGGACCAACATCGCCGTGATCCTAAAAACAAAGACACACCCGCACAGGGTTCTTACGATCTCAACAAGACTGGAAACTTGACCATTCCCGATGGTCTTCCTATGCCAAAGGATTTCGCTGATAGCAATGATGTCGACGCGGCAGCCCTGGAGCAATGGAAGCAAGCTAATGACTCAATCCTCGAGCCCCTGATCACCAACAGAAGCAAGGCCAACGACATGTCCTACAGGGCCGCCTTACATGCATCGAGCAAACGTGGCTGGAACAAAGAGTCAGACGACAGGATGAAGAGCATTTGGAGAACCGATTCAAATGCTGTGAATGATCAGACAGAAGACGTCTTCACAGCAGCACAGATCCGGCAAATGATGATGAGTGCTTATAGGGTGCAAGACGATGAAGAGAAAACTGGTAGACCCACCATTACGGGCGGTGTGATCGGGAGAGCCACAGTTCCGACGAAGAAGAGGACGAAGGTGTACCCTCCTGGATCTGGACCAAGTAAACTTCCTCAGTTTGCCATAACATCGATCTCTAATCTCGACATCTTCGTCAACCACAACCCCGACTTGTTTGCTGATCGAGATATTTCCAAACTCGCTAAAGAGACGCAGCGTGCGGTGATGCATCGAACGTACATAGGCAGTTTCAAAGAAGACAGCCGACAGAATTGGCGCGAGGTCTGGTACAAAGATCCACATGCCTTTACCGAAGAAGAACGGAATGAAAACTGGTCTTGGGCGGCTATCGTACAGCGCATGGACGATACCTACAACAACCTCGAGCTACCACCCACTTTCATGTCCCTCAGCCATGCCGAGATTGATATCTGGCTGCAAAACCTACCTGAAGTAATTCGAAATAGGATGAAGCATCGTGACGGGAACGTTCTTTATGACCGCGCGCCAGGCATCTTGCACCGTCTCTTCGTCGGCGAATTCGAGGAGCTGCGAGCAGAAGGGGCCCAGAACAGCCCAAAGAACATCAAGCTCCTTGCTGATTGGCGCGAGAAAGATCCGGAAAAGTACGGTTCTGTAACGGAAGCCGTGAACAGGCTCAAGTTCAGGTTTGGTAGTGACGATGGCGGAAGTATGGATCTGCCGTTCTTGATAGAGAGCCCCCTCCACTGGCCGCCACGCGGACGCCTGCCTGCGTCTAAAGGAGGACAGAAGAGAAAGCCAACAAGCCCCGTTCCCGGGGGAGATGCGTCGAAGAAGACTAAGATCGACCGGCCATCTACGACGAAGGAGAAGAACCAGAAGAGCTCTAGCCAGTCTGCGTCGACAGCTAAAGGAACACCCCAGGGACGGCAAGCTCCTAGTGGATCTGGAGGCCACCAAGGGTTTGGTGAGTCTCAAGAACTTCCCGGACCTATAGACCCTTCAGGGTCTTCACATCAGCCAAAGTCCCGGGATACGGATATACTTGCAGACGTACTTGGAATGTATCCCCCAGAATTCACGCATACCATCAAGGCACGACGCCAAGCGTGGATCGAAACCTTTTCGGACGCGACTGCTGCTCGCATAGAGGACATGGACGAGTGGCCGCAAAAAGCAGTTCTTCAACATCTTTTCGGTGGTCTCGACACGATACCGAAAGGGCTCAGACATATTTGGCGAAAGCAGCACCCTCTATTGAACGACAAGATGACAGACGACGACGTGCCTGGCGCGCTGAAAGATACAGTCAAAGAGTTTGGCGCGGAAGGCGCATGCCAGCAAGGAATCCTGTACTATCCTGAGTACTACATGACAGCGTTCGAAAAAGAACACGAAGAACTAATAGCGACAATGACCAATGCCAAGAAAGACGCTGTAAAAGGTAACGTCCAAGGCCAAGGCGGCGAAAAAGAACATAAGGACCTCTCTGACGACGATGTTGTGGATCTCGACGATTTCGAAAACGACGAAGTGACCGCGCAGCCAGCAGGCGGAGCTACTACTCAAGGCGCGAAACGAAAGCATGCCGGAGGCACCGCAAATCCGTTCCCAGCGAAGAGACACAAGGGCGACCGACCAGACTTCTGCGCAATGGAAGAACCCGAGGTCCTCCTTTGGCTCGCCAAAGTACCCCTCACCTTCAAAAAAGAACTCCTTGACTCAAAGCTCAATCTGTTGCCGCTGAAGTCGGCATATGCGCGTGTCATGCTCGAGCGCATATTCAACAAGACGTTTCAGAACTGGGCTGCGGAGGACCCTTTGACTGAAGAGACGCTGGGGAAGCTAAGGCGGTGGAGATTGTTGGGCACTTTCAGTGGCTCTTTTAATGCGAACCCTGCGGGTCTTAAGAAGTTTCTCGACAAGATACTGTATGCAGACAAGACAACGGTTGGTGAAGGGAAGAAAGCGAAGAAAGAAACGGTTGTCTTGCCGGATTATAGTAACAACACAGATAAATGGCCTGAGAATTGGAAGTAGGAGGTGTAATGTTAAAGTCAGGTACGTACTATAGCGGAACTTCTGTTTGCGTTTTTTTGTGTACGAGAAGACGTGTATGATAGCTCATGTGGTGTTGTATCCAAACAAAGTTCAATGAATGCTGAACTTGGTCGTTTTGCGCCTTAGATCCTTCTCGCTCATGCCTGCAAAGATTTCCCCTTCCATATGCCCATGTACATAGCAGGGTCCGACGAGCTCAACGTGATGGGTGTTGTCGTCTTTCGTTTTGGTAACATCGATGTCGCGGAGTATGACTGGTACTGAAGATCCGTAGAGGATGCAAGCCCACTTACGACCGCCAGAACCCATGTCTTCCGGCCCTAGACCTACTATCGATTTTTGCATATAGCCAGAAGCGAAGTTGGTTTCAGACCAGAACACTCTCTTGTTCTCAGTCGCCACCTGGACACGTCTGAGATAGCTAGTCAACGTACTTGGCTGTGATACATCTGCGATCAAAGCTGCTGAGTCCAGATTGCCGTTGCTGTTGAGCTTCGAGAGCGCCAGCGCGCATGCACGCCGATACCATGTAGGCGCAATCCTCGCATCTGGACTTCGGTTCGCGACGAGCGTCATCCAAAGTCGGTCATCGATGTCCGATTCTGGTGTCCCTCCCCACCCAAGCATTTTCAGACAACCCTTCGTAAAAACCCCATTGTGTACAGCCGATGTAGAGATGTAATCAACGACGTTCAGTACTATACCCTCGACTTCCAATATGTGATTGGATATCTGTGGCGGTAATACGACTGGCATAGTAACGTGTCGAGAGGCATTAGATGCACTGTACGTTTGACTGCCAGTCGTGCCTAGCAAATCGTCTGGCAACACATGACGCTGACAAGGACCACCCTTATCGAACGACGCTACGGCAATAAACGAAGGTAAAGTCTCGCGTGAGTATGGGGTCGCGCGTGAGGCACCAGGCCAGCTCGCCCAAGGTCGACATAAGATATCCAAGGACTTCGAGGTTGCGATACTGTGATTGACGAATTCTTCAAAGATTGTTATCGGGTGCTTTGTGTAGTCAAATGTGCGAACAGCTGAACCAGCCCATGGTGTAGTACGGGATCGGCATCCATCGAAGGCGAGATTCGATAAGGCATAGATGACGTCTCGAACATCTGATACTGCGAACAACGAGGCCGCGTGAACCAGAGATTCCAGACTCATCAACTTCGAGACGATTGTCGAATTCGAGCGTTTCTGGAATACATTGCGCGAGAACTGCATCAGCGCCACTGCCTTGTCACTGTTGATGCCATCCAAAGTAGCAGGTTGTAGCTTGAATAGTGCCGATTCTTGATAGAGTAATCGTATCCGATCGATGTTGGTTGAGTACAGATCAATGGCGTCCGCAAAATCCAACCAGCTCAAAATCTTATCCGCAACGCGAACTGATAACTTTCTCGCACAAGCCACCTCCTGAATGACCCAGCGGCGCTCAAACCACGGTTGTTGCAAAAGATTACCAAAAGCTGCCCAGGAGCGAAGCACATTCTCGTCAAGTATCTCCCCGCGCAAATCAATATCGAGGGTTTTAAGATTGAGAATGTCCGGCACGAGGCTCACAGCTTCCTCGGTACTCCCTTGCAAGGACTCGTTGTCTCCCAGCCATGCAATAACATTCCAAGCACAGGAGTAGATGTCAAGCATCTTGGGGATCTGCTGAGTCTTCTCGTGATTGTTTTCCTGATTGATGCAAAGAGCGTCTACCCAGATCCATAGATAGTCGTCAATGAGGCGAATGTGTCTCAAAGCTTGATAGAGATTCCTGCGGATAGGGTACGGCTGAGATCTATTTGACGCTGTAGTAGGCGAGCAATCCCCTGATCTGGGAAGATCACGTAGGAACACCTGTTGTGAAGGAAGGTCATCACCCCATGCGTATGAGAGGGCCTGGAACTCATGAACCACCGTGATGATTCTCTCCATGGGAATGGCCTTCAGAGAGCACTCCAAAGGACTTTCAATCGATCCAGGGTGGATACGGAGGAGCCGAACCTCATCGTCCAAGAGGGATGTATACTGATAGCCTACCGGTGGTTCTAAGAGCCAACTATCGGGGATACCGAGACGGTTGGCACTAATGATACGATCGGAGCGCTCGGAACGATCGTGGAGATCAGCAAAATCGGGGATGCTGGTGGAATCTGGAAAGATCCGCATCCAGTCTGCTGGGGTGATATACGGGTATTGGTTCGAGGGCGCAGAAGAGCCTGCGTATGGAGCAGGGCTTTTACTCTGAAAACCATGCGACGCACTGCCAACTGGAGACGCCATTCGAGCGGGCGAATCTCCATGATAAAAACTGTGAGCTGGCGACTGTGATCGTGTTCTTTCATTCTCTGAGTAGCGATTGGGCGAAGTGGCGCGGTAGCGAACTGGAGTCCTTCCTCTTTCCTCTTCTGTACGAAAGTGGCTCCAGCTGTTAACCGCTGATTCGAGTTCCCGAGCTTGCTTTTCCAGTTCTTCTCTTAAGGTCACGCGCTCTTTCCGGTTGCGCCTTGCTTCCGATGAGACGAAGGTGCACTTCACGTTCAGACGGATGCAACTGCCACATCGGCCTTGAGTGTCGTCTGAGGGTACAAAGCACAGATTCTTTCTTTTTCGACAATTATCGCACACATGTGTTGCTTTCCTGTATCGGGTTGTCGCTGGTTGGCGGTGTTTTTTTTCTGGTAAAGGTTCCATTGGTGCGACGAAGGTGACGTTGCATGTTTTATCGACCAACGACAAAAGCTCAAGATGAATAAAGCCAGTCTGCGTTGAAGAACGATGAAAGGCTGCTGGGGAGGTGGTAAGATTCTGTCGTACCTATGCACTGCGCCATGCATGCAGGCAGCTGCAGTTTATCGGTAAGTCTTGTCTGCTGACGCTATGCCGTGTTGACACCCGCGGCTATGCACAGCCTCGATCGTCGTCTCGCAGCTGTCTAGTGGTCAACCTCCGGAGTGTGGTTCAAAGATTGCCAATGGAAACGTGGCGTAACAAGTATGATTAATTCATTCACGAGGTAATGATTACTCTGATGAAAGATCCTGTTGCCATGCCGAAGCGGTTTAATAGAATTGAGGCTGAGCGTGCGGCTGAGTATCGTCAGACTTGGTTCATGGCCTCCGTGCTTTGGGAAGATTGTTGCTCCATACCAAGTTTGCAATGCCGCGTTCTGGATCGCAATGTATCTTGACGAGAATAGGATTCGACTGATTACGACGTTCGCTTCTCGATAGTTGAAATTCTGGGTATCACATCTTGAAGTTGCTCTCGATCTTTCTCGGTTGGAGTGAGGCCAAATTTCTCCTCAGCCTTGTCGGATATGTAGAGGCCAGCGCCCGCGTACGCCATGACGCCCACGCCAATGATCATGCGCGTCTTGGGCGGTATGTTCTTGAACCATCTATCTCAATGTCAGTGATGAGTACGTACATATGCAGGGTGCACACATACTGCCAGACAGCCATGTCGAGGATGAGGAGGTGCGAACGCGTTGGTGTCGCAAAGTTCGCGATGACGACGCTGAGGGCTCAGCGCCAAGCCTGGAGCAACTCCCAGACTCGAGCGCGACACGACGTCAGCACTCACATATGTAAACTCGTCTCGTACATTCACTCATTAGCGTTGAACACCGTTCTCTCATTCACCACACGATAGTCATCCCGTTCGAGCCAAGCATGGTCTCATAGCTTGGAACAGTGAACATCGATCGCCGCACCTCCGCACCCACTCCGCACCCTGAGACCACCTGGGCAGATGTGCGCGCTATTACCACCCGCCTCTTGAGCGCCTCCGCCAGCACCATAAGGCCTCCACCACTCTTTAACTATGCCCGGCTTCCGCCGCTGGGGCAAGTCCAAATTCGAGCGGAATCCCGAGTCGTCGTTCAAGCTCCTCGCGGCCATCATCGTCATCACCCTGTACCTCCTCATCAAGGAGTTCCAGAACCCGACTGTTCGAGAGAGGGACATACCCAAGTTTGGCGCACAAATACAACATGCGGATTGGAATGGAACGGGCAAGGCGGATGAGGCACGGGCGAAGAGCGTGCGGGATGCCATGAAATATACCTTTTGGAAGTACAGGGAGAACGCCTGGGGCTGCGATGATATCCTGCCTGTGTCGGGAGGCAACTCGTCTTCCAGAAATGGGTGGGGAGCTTTCATCGTGGACTCCGCGAGCACTTTGGCACTCATGGGGCTATGGGACGAGTTGGCGCATTCTCTCGAGCACATACTCGCTATCGACTTCACCGAAACGAAGGACCTTGTCGACCCATTCGAGACTACGATACGATACCTGGGCGGGCTTCTGTCTATTGTGGACATGTATGACACCGGGCTCATTCCGGAAGACGTACTGAGCGAAGAGGCACGCGATCTTGTACTGGAGCACGCTGTCACCCTCGCGGTGAAGCTTGCTCCAGCGTACGACACCCCCACAGGCATGCCATGGCCTCGTGTCGACTTTGAAACAGAGCAGGGCGAGCCAGATCCTTCCTTCGTCTTCAGCGACGACCCAACCAAACACGGCTACGACCAACACCCCGCTATAGGCCCTGCGCGAACTGGCTCTTCCATCCTCGAAAACCGCGTCTTAACCAGATTGACTGGCAACTTGACATACACGCAGAACTCGACGAACGCGTGGGCGCCACTCGTATGGTCGAAGTGGAAGACACCGTGGGCAGGCATGGTCGACGCGCCCGTTGACATCATGACAGGAGAGCCAGTGGGCCGCCAGAGGCACTGGGATGGCGGGCATGATTCGTACTATGAGTACCTTGTCAAGATGACCCTCTTAGCACCGCCAACAGATCCCCATCTCGGCACATACAAACACCGCTTCACAGACGCGGCGTACTCCTTACGCAAACACCTCAGTTCCCGCTCCGCACCAGCGCCCGATCACTACATGCAGCACCTCTACATCGGTCGATACAACAAAGATTATGAGAACCAGCAAGGACATCTCGCTTGCTTCGCACCCGGTACCATCCTCCTCGCATCCAGACTCTACGACGAACCCTACCTCCGTACCTTTGCGCTCGCGCTCCTCGAAGGCTGTCGCCACTCGTATACCTCCACACCTACCAAGATCGGTCCAGAGACATGGGCATGGATACCCAAGTTCGGATACGACGATCCGCTCTTCATCCCAGAGACCGCGCGTCAAGAGCGAGAAGCGATAGCTAGCGGCATCTGGGCGCTAGAACCAGCATACAAAGGCCGGCCTGAGTATGTGGAGAGCCTATTCTACGCATGGCGCATAACGGGCGAGAAACGGTATCGCGAGTGGGCATGGGAAGCTTTCTCGGCTATGGAGAAGCATTGCAAAGCGCCGTTTGGATACGCACAACTGGCTGACGTGTACGATACGAAGTCAAAGGGCGAGGACAAATGGGTAGATATGCAAGAGAGCTTTTGGGCTGCGGAGACGTTGAAGTATCTTTGGCTAACGTTCTCGGACGTTGAGGTCGCGAGTTTGGATAGCTGGGTGTTTAGCACTGAGGGGCATCCGTTTCGTATGATGCGTTGAGCGGGACCGTCATGGTACGATCATATATGGAAGAAGAGAGAACACCACGTCTTGGAGGGAAGGGCAACATAACAGTCGGAGAGACTCATAAGAGCTCATAACAGATGTCCAGCACAGCGGCAAGCTACACAGCTGGCCAAACAGCAACGGCGCAAAGATACCCAAAATCAAATTCGCTTTCATAACAGAAACAAAGAACTACTGTACTACCCCTTCGCTGCCTCAGTATCTCCATCATATTTTCACACCTCATCGTTGACAGCACTTAGCTTCCTCCGCCACCACCTCCACCACCGTGTCCACCGCTATCACCACCGTGTCCATGACTATGTCCGCCATCATGTCCACTGCTATGTCCATGACTATGCCCATCACCATATCCATGAATATCTCCACCTCCATCTCCCCCTACGTCTGTAGCATCAGACACTCTATTGCTCTTATACGTACTCCCCGACGCACCCTTATACACCCCGCCACTCCCGCGGTTATAACTCAGCTTACTGGCGTCTGTGTATTCGGGAGGATCATAGATTGGGCTTCGCGTTAGTCGTGTTCTGCTGGTAGAATTAGGATTAATGGCATTATAGTTGGGTATGGTAATGGGTTTGGCGGTAGGCTTAGGAGTCGATGGTATGCAGCCCATGGTATTGTGTTTGAGTATGGTTCGGCGTTCTGAAAAGTGGGATGTAGGATGTGGGATGTAGGATGTGGGATGTAGAATGTGGGAAGGAGATATGTTTGAGTATGCAGGAGGGTTGGTATGGGCGCTCGTTAGAAATGATGGAGGAGGATATGTCGTGGAGAGTCGTGGCAGTGACGAACGAAGAGTAGTATTGAATCATCTGAGTGCTGGTAGCAGGTGAAGTGGCATCCTCTCAACGTGCGTATCAACATCGCGGTAAATACACCCTATCCTCGTCGCCACAGTTTATTCTCGTAGTACGGTATGTTGCTCGATCCAGGCTGAGAGTGGTGAATATTGGCGTTAGTTAGGATAGGGTCGTCCGCGGAGACTTGTCGTATGGTCGCTCGAGGCAGCTGTGACTCTGGGTGTGGGATGTCGGAGATGGTACTAGGGCCTTCAGCGGTAGGTGTAGTGACATGAGTCGTGGTGTTTGTTTCGATCGGCCGAGGGACAGGGAGCGGTTCTGTGGATTTGGAAGATGTGCAACCCATGGTGGATGACGGAGTTTGAGTATCGATGGCTGATGATGGTGGTGGTTGGTAGGAGGAACTTCGATGGTGGGTGCGAAGTAGGCTTTTGCGAACTATAAGAGAAAGGATAAGGTGCGAGATGACTGTGGTTAGGTAGTGAAGAGACTCGCTTTATTGTTTCACATCTTCAACTAGCGAGACGATGCTTCGAGAAACTGGTATGGAAATAGATGGTTCACATTCTAATGCTCATCATATCACACAAAACATTCAGGGTCATTGTGTAATTCATATAGCACTCATTGTATTCATTCTCGCAAATTGCTATCCCGTACTTTGACTCACCCATCACTCCATCATTTTATCCCGCGTGCTAATCCAAGTGAACCCGGTATCGTAGTAGCCATACTTGCTCGCCAAAGGGCCTTTCATCGGAACAGGGGTAGATGGCGCTGTGATAAACGGAGGAGTGGGAGTGTTGCGCGGTGCTGAAGATTCAGGCTGAGTCTCTCCTTCTGGCTTAGCGGGCGTGGGGGAAGGGGCCGGTGGATTTGCGGTAGGTGTTGTAGGGGCTGGCTTGGGAATTGGTTTCGAAGATGAACAACCCATTGTAAGATTTTGGGAGGAATACGTGGGGTTTTGAGTGGGTGTAGAAGATATAGACTGGCCCTCCCAAAGGTACTTTTTGGCTGGGAAAACTGGGAAGCTTGTATGAACGTGTGAGAGGAGCAAAGCTTTGGAGTAACAGGGATACAAGTAGCGTTTTGTAAGTCTTATACGTGAACAATGGAAGAGAGCGCAGTGAAGCACACAATGTGAGCATGCTCCCAGTGACCTTGAACTTTTGAATAACGGCACAAAGATAACTCCGCCAGTACCCAGAGCCCTGACTGCGCGCAGTCCACGTTCTGTATTTTACGAATCTCTAGTTCGTGTGTAGCCAACCATCTCTAGTCACTTCTTCCACCTCCATCTCCACCACCTTCACCAGACGCTCTGCCCTCACTCGACATCCCTACAACACCACCGTCACCGTTACTAAACCCGCTGTCTGCTCGACGAAACCCACTGTATTCCCTGCCGTGCATATCACCCCCATCATAAAACGGGGTTGTCCTATCATGTCTTCCGTTGTAGCGTCCATACGATCTGTTTTGGCCTGGGTATGTAGCAGTACCCTCGAAATATCCGCGGCCTCTTTCACCGTTTCTCCGGGCAGCATATACTGCCGATATGTGATTCACTTCGTCTTTCACGCGCTCGACTTCGCGATGTAGTTTTGACAGAAAAGAGCCCATGGCTTGCTATTCTCTAGCTTGAACGAATAGCGCGAAAGTGTATGCGCTGGCTCGAGTGCTTGTGGCGAAGTGGAGATGGCCGAAGATGGCACTGGGCGACGGCAGCGATGTTTGGGAGAAGAAATTGACAAAGATGAAATGACGACGTTCGTGAATTCTGGAATGGTAAAGGACTGGTTAAAGTGATAGTTTTGAGAGATGTTCATGCTTCTCGACTGTGCCGTAGCGGATATGAGGCACAGGTAAGAAGGCGGCTATGCTAGGCGGAAATCATTGTCGTAGTTGCGGCTGATACATGGGAACCACGTGCATTTCGCTGCCTATAAGAGAACAAAATAATCACAAGACAGTAGGCGGGTCAAACAAACATGGAAGCATCGTGCCCTTCGTCGTTGTCGTTGTTCCTCTCTCCCATGGTACCGCGATGATCCATCAACGACGAGCCACTCACGACTCCCGCAACGCACACGAGATACACGATGACTGAATCCGCCCATTAAATAATGGAAGGGATGAGAAAGAGGTCGTTGTCGTCGTTATCCACCCCCTCCACCTCCACCATCTCCTCCTCCGCCATACCCTCCGCCATCGCCGCCATAGCCACCACCGTAGTACATTCTACCAGATGTATTTCTGGCGTTCGTTCCGTCGGAAAGTATGTAGGGAGGGCCAGGCGGCTTCCCTGGGTTGGGTCCATATCCGTCTTGGTCGTGCTTTGCTCCAGCGAGTTTGCTTGACATGCAGCCCATGGCTGGCGATTGAAGTCGTCTCTTCTGTATCTGATAATGATGATGACGATTCAAGATATTGGTTTCGCAGTGCGGGAGGAGACTATGGCTATTACAATAGTAGTGAGCAGTGATCCGCAGGTTTGAGCAGTGAGCTTACGATTGACGAGGCGATCGCTGACCAGGAAATTGCTACCTGAGAATCCAGTCATGGTCACTGAGAATGTGGCATCATATATCTTCTCAAACTTCACTGCGCAGCTGAAAGTTGTGTGGTTGCGACAAGTACGAGAGAGGTCGTCTGACAACGCCTGTGGCGTGCGCCTCTTCGCATAAACTGATGCTTTCGCTCACAGCTCCATGTAAGAAAACTTGGCTTCAACTCAGGTCCAGACTTTCACAAGCCAAAGGCACACTTCAGGAACATCTCGAGAATCTATATTCGATGCGATAATTGATGCTGGGTATATAAGCGACAGTAACAAGAGATGCACGACGACAGGTAGTTCAACGCAACGCTAACAACCAGAGGCGGAAATCATCCGCGCCGTCGCAAGAACTTACGGAAGAATTGCGGAGCAAGAACAGAAGTAGAAGTTCGGAGGCGCGCAAGTGACTTTTTTAATGTGGATTCAGCCCGATGGACTGCCTTGGAAGTGCCTTGAAGGCGTGCGGCGGACTGGGCCTCGGCACGGACGGACATTGGATGGGAGGACCGACACGGAGCCACCGGTCAGTCGGTAATGCGCGATCGTCTCTCCTTAGAAAAATAATGCCGCCGGAGAAAGACCGCAGAATATGCACCGGCATTTGATGCAGATGTGGAATGAGGAGGTGCCATTGTGCTGTGACCGGTTTCGAGGCTGATCGCGAAGATGATCGCGACAATACATCGAACCACTGCCAGACACCCATGAGGTGGGCGCACAAGGCTTCTGGCATATTTTCCTTCAGACCGCGCCCATGAGGAACTTCCAGTGGAAATCGGTGCTGGTAATATCGAGCGACGGAGTCACGTCCCGTAAACTCGGTAATTTCTCCACTCCATTGGTCGTACCACTCCCGTTGATTTTAGGCAGTGACAGATTGTGGAGGAGAGACACAGTCCGTCCCGAGCCTGTCGCTAGCTCAAATGTGTTGCCGTTCGGGCTTCCCCTGCCCATTGCATCGTGCAGCGCTAGTCTCATGACTGAAGTGATGCGTCGGAAGCGTTCGAACGCGTCTTCTTGACTGTCTTGAGCATCGCGAGGGCGAGGCATTTGCGAGGATAGCTGCTCGCGATAGTAGTCGAATGACTTCGCTATTTGGAGCTCGCTAGCGTCCCAGCCCGGCATGGGCGAGGCGTGAATGGCCAACTTGCTCAAGCTGGTGATGGTGTTGATCAGGTTGAGCCAGTCGATCAGCGACACGAAATCGAAATGTTTGGTCGGGAGCTTTGTGCTGTTGTCGAGGAACTGTTCGACGGACCGGACCAGAGTGACGCGTAGTGATAGCTGAAAGCCCGAAGCCCACGGTGTACTATCGCGATCTACGAGATCGATGGAAGCTGCCGTTCGATACAGGTGTATGCGTGCTGCAAGCTGTAGCCATTGCAGTATTGCTAGTCAGAAATTAGCAATTGCGAATGTTACAGTGATGTGACTGCTTACTGAAATCTTTCGCTTGCAGCTTGGATGCAAGACGAATATTCTCCCACTTGTCGCTCAGTCGTTTGACTTGTGTACGAACCACCACTGCTTGCTCTGACTGGTTACGGAAAGTCTCCTCCACGTCCTCCATGTATTGGCAGACATCCGTTAGTATTGGAAGGACGGCATCTGACGTATTTTCCCACGAAGAGGCCAATTCTGACGCGTAGTTCCGGAGTGTGCTGGTGTGCGTCATGGTCCTTGCTTTGACTGGCTCCATCAGACCCAGGTTGGAAGACAGGTAGTAACATCCCAAATAAGCCCGCTTAGCTTCCCGGTCTCGCGGGCTTTCCTTTTGTAGAGGACTCCTTACAGTCCTCCCTATGCTGTCCAGACCCAGGTCGTGTGCGATACCCAAGCACAGCTGGAGAAGCATCGTGATCGAAACGGCTTGGACGTCCATATAGTGATGATGCCAGGCTATGAAGACCAAGAGTCCCTGTAGGAGGTCCAAACTCTTTTCGCCTTTCATTATCCGAACCATGACCACTTTACGAAATTCTAGGCTCAGTGCTCTTTGAAGCGGGACCGAATCGTAAGAAGAGACTGTTAGCACAGCAAACATCAACATCGGACGGCTCTGGAAGAGGTCCTGACACCGGGCGTCTCTCGGTAGTGATACAAAGGGGAAGAAGTCGACCATGCTGCGATACGTGTCGAGCAGCATCTGCATGTGCACCAGGCTGAGCGATCTGATCACAGGATCCAGTCGGCCAAGGCAAGACAGTGTGTCGTTCATTGATTCCCAGAATGACGCCGAACTTTCGGACTGGTTTGCATGAGCGGGGAGTGATAACGTCCTGGGAGCTGGTGGCATCGATACAGGCGGAGCGGTGATTGGTGTCGGCGTCGGCATTTGCTGTGTGGAATCCAACAGTTGCGATGGGATGGTGGCTACCGATGGCAGACTACATTGTGTCGGAGCCGGCGCCATTGTCGCAACGATAGCAGACAACTTGTCCAATTTCTTGTCGAAGTCGCGCAGCTTGGTGGGTGTTTGGCCATCGCTGCGCGCCTTTGCTGGCCGCCTGCGCGCAACATGTTCCACACACTCGACTCTTGCCTTTTGGCATCTGGGGCACGTGTCATTCAATGTGGAGCAAAAATATGGCTGGGGTAAACAAACCTCTGGCAGAGAGCCGGCGTGTCAGATGGAACGCAGCGAACCTTGTGTTTTCGACAGCGCTCGCACGCAAAGGCGTTCCCTATCCTCCCTTCTTTTGCGTCCATGGCGGGGACAGAACTGGCAGTCTTGGGGGAAGGAGAGCCATCGGCCTCCGGCTGGGTACCCAGGCTGCTCATGTGGGGAAGTCCGATCATGTGGTGCCAAGTCCGGGGTCAAACTGCAGTTGTGAATTGAGTCCCTCAAACGCGCGTAACGGGTGCACCAGAGATCAACGCTATGCTGACAGGGCGGAAGGCAATGCCGCAAGCCATTGCATCGGAACAACTTCAGCACAAGAGCCTTTGAAATGGGTTCCGCCGAGGGCCCGTCTATGTGGCGGTGCGAAATGATCAAGATACCTCGGGTAGTATATGTCGGTATATTGATGGTCCGCTTGGAACCGGTTGCTTACTCCCGACGGTCTGGGGGCGTGAAAGCCGCCTAATTGCCCTGGCGGAACTGCTCCGAAGCTCCATCCGGCACCAGTGCTGATAAGTCCGTCATGTCAACGTTGCGCCTCGAATTGAATGGACGGCAATGGTGATGACCTCCAGTGCTGGCTACAGCAAGCGGCGCGACGCTACCGTCATAGTTTCCTCGCTCTTCTCCGCCCAATTCCAAACATGACTCACCTCTAGTGCCACAACCACGACGAAATGACCCAGAAAGCGCATCGCGACTATCAGGATGGCTTCGCCGGGAGGATAGGATGGGGTAAACGTCCGGCGCTGCTACTTGTCGATGTTTGTAACGCCTACTGGAACGATGCCAGCCCATTGGACACCAAGTCGAACCCTGCGTCTGCGGCGGCGCCCGCGTCCATCGCAAAACTCGTCTCTGCCGCCCGCCAAGGCAAAACGCCGTTGATCTGGACGCGAGTCGAATACACGAAGCCGGACATGTCGGATGCGGGCCTCTTCTACAGCAAAGTACCGCTACTCAAGCTGTTCCAAGTCGGCTGCGGGAACGGCCTGGAAAGTTGGTATCCTGGTTTAGAGCCCGCCGCTGGTGAAGTCGTCGTCCCCAAGCGCTACCCGTCCGCATTCTTCGGGACCGATCTGGCTGCGCAACTCCAAAGTTGCAACGTCGATACTGTCATAATCTGTGGTGTCAGTACAAGTGGTTGCGTCCGCGCGACTGCCCTCGATTGCATGTGCTTTGGATTTCGACCAATGGTGCGGATCGACTCGGCAACGCATGAGTCCCTGTAAATGTCACTAATCATCATTCCAGGTCGTGGGAGAAGCATGCGGTGACTTATCACCTGCGGTCCACAAAGCAAACCTTTCCGACATCAATGCAAAGATGGCGGATGTGGTTTCTGAGGATGAAGCAATTCAGAAGCTGCAGGCTGGATGGAACTGAGCGGGCCGCGCGGCTACGGTACCGCGCCGCAAAACTAGTTCCAGGAGGTAAAGCTCCTGTCGCTGTCAGTTAATACAGTCATCTAGGTTCCTCTCAAGCTCGCCTACATGAAGCCGAGCAAGTTTCTCGTGTACGATACTGTGTCACGAAGGCATGTGGGGATGGCGGCCACCACGAACGACAAATAGCACGGAAAATTAATAAAGCATACTCCTATTTCGAGAAATAGCCAAGGGTAACGAAAGACGGACTGTAGAAGGCGTAGTCAAGGTGCATCATCTAATAGGAAGGTGTTGAGCGTGGCGTGATGGTCCGTTCTTTCTTTTGACTAACATTCCACTTTGGCAACCACAACCCAGGCACTGGGTTCACACGAGGCGATTCTTCACTGTTCACTGTTTTGGAACCACTGCTTCACTGCGCGTTACTTTATCACTCAAAATCACTCACATCGCTAGTCACAATGCCGCGAAGACGAAGCTTCTATACTCTCCTTTGACTCACACAGTGTGTGCGAAAATCTCGAACTCTGGTCCCATCCCATCCCATCCCATGGTACCGCGATGACCCATCAACGACGAGCCACTCACGACTCCCGCAACACACACGAGATACACGATGACTGAATCCGCCCATTAAATATGGAAGGGATGCGAAAGAGGTAGTCACAATGCCGACAAAACCTTTTCGCAGAACCCACGAGTGACAACGAGCAGGCACGTGTCCGGTCTCCGAGCACATTTGCGTGTTTGCTATCGATCACGGCATCGGCGTCTCTAGATACACTTTCTAATCCACAATACACTCGAAAGCGACGCGACACTGTGCTTAACTCAAGCACACTAACCACACTTGAAGTCTTCCGATCACAATTCTCCGCCAGCGCCAGCGCCACTGCCAAAGAGATTTCTGACATGAAGCAACGAAACTCCGCGCTCTCGATACTACAACACACTCCTTATCCCGGCGCAGAACCGGTGCCAGATTGCGTGTGGGTATGCTGTGGATGCAGAAGAAGATGGGAGACGAAGGAGCTCGGCAATATCTGTGTCGGCTGCAGTCACAAATACTCCGTTGACTGTTGCCAGCTTGCCGGATAGCAGGGCATTGCTGGGGACGAGGAGATGACACAAGGACGAGTTAAGGTGCGTCGGTCTACGTTCTTGATCTAACAAAGGCTAATATAGCGGCATACTTCAGCTAGTAACATACCCAGCGGTCGAGAGTGTGTACGAATTCGTACTTGTAGCCATGGATGAACGTGCTGGTGGCAAGCGCAATCAACAAAGATATCCATTGGTACGCATCCCTCTTCAATGCCATGATCTACGAAATTTACTCCGCTCATGCTTCACATAGGCAAAGCGCTGTACTCCATTCGCTCCTCTAACACAACTACTGAGCACCCATTCGGCCATAAAGCTAATGCCTGACTCTGCTTAAGCTCTCCGATGGCTCGATTTGATTGCATCCCTTCCATACACCATCACGCTCCTCGTCGGCGGTACCACCATCTCTTCCGACCACTTAGATTCAGGTCCTCATGATTTGGTGCCCAGCGACCACGGCAGTTGGAAATCTCCCTGGGGGCTTACCCCAGACGACTTCTTCGGTCTCCACATGGCAAAGATAGGCGGAGGCGTCAGCTCATGCGCACACTTCCTCCACTCGTCGCTCGCTTCCGACTTCTCGTTGTCGAAAGCAATCTTCAGTAGAGACTGGAACCCAAACTTGTCGTAAAGCGGTTTTCCCATGGCAGAAGCTTCCATCCAACATTCGAGATCAAGCCCGTCCGCGCGCGTGATACCAACGTGCATGAGAAGAGAGCCAACACCGCGATTTCGATGGGCAGGGTCTACCGCCATCCAGTTGAGTGCTAATACAAAGTCAGCGAGAGGAAGAAGATCATTTTGACTTTTCGCACAATCACGTTTCTTCATCCGGAAATAGCGCGTTTGAGGGGAAAGGAAATGCTCCACTTACCACAGTGTGGCCGCGTCATCCAATTCGCTCGCGGCCTGTACACCTGATTGAGTATTGACTCGCAGAAGCTCCGATATTCGCCCTCGGGCCACCATGGCGCGGTCAACTTTGGTGTGCCTGCAGCAAATGGGTTGACAGTCGAAATAACCCATTGTGAGCAACCGACAGTCTTGTTAGTGACTGTGTCGAAGGCGTAGAACCAGTGGCTGGAATTGTCCTCTTGGTGTTGTTTCCAGAAGCGTTGTTTTGATTCGGCGACGGCGAGGTCGCGATGGGCGCTCGTGTAGCCAAGGACCGGGAAGAACAGTTGCATGAACGGCTCATAAGGTGTGTAGTTCGCAGCCCAGATAACATCCAGTATCTCATCCAGCTCTTGCTTTGTCTTTGCCTCCCGGATCACGTATCGTTGTCCCATCGCAGTGGATTGGCGGTTGCGTCAAGCCATGGCGACATCGGCCAGGTAAAGTAGTCTGCAAGTGCGCTACCTCGCCGCTGCTGCGCATTGACAGCGCAATCGGAGATATAGCTTGACCCAAGTATTGGACATCGTAGATTGCCGTGTTAGGGTGAAGTTGCCCAACAAGGAAGGTACCGTCGACACATTTAGCGTCTTGGCGAGGCTGGCAAGTAACACCCTTTTGCCCCAGCACACCTTCCCCGATAGCCCCTCACTTTTACACACATCCAGCCACTCGGTAGCACTTGTATCGCTATCATCATCTCCAGATGCTTGCGACCTTCCTCGATCGTACGGGCGCCGCAAGACAGATTTCTCGGCGATGTAACGATGGACCGAGGCTGGTCGCGTCGCTATTCATTCATGGTCCGCGCTCGGAGCGGTGCGATTGGGGTATGGTGTTGTCGGGACGGGCTTGCGACGTATGTTTGTGAAACTCGAGGCGAATTCTGTGACACCCAATGAGCGCGCTCCGTCTTATGGAGCCGCGGAGGCTTGCTTTCTACATTCACTCCACAAAGCGGATCGAAGAATGGAGCGACCTCCAGCATATGCGCCAGTCTGCAGCGATGAACAGGAAGAAATCCTAAGAGAGCTAGAAGAGAAGGATGGCGTTTCCTGGAACTCTAAGAGTACTGAAATCATCCCGACCAACACGCGCAGCTTCGTGGCGTACATGTCCATCTTGCTGCTCTCTCTTTCAGCGAACATTCTCCTGGTGATGGACAATGCAAGGCTTCGAATTGCGCACAGTCCAGCTAAGAGCAACTACAGTAAGTGACAGCCTGATCGGTCTGATGCTAGCTCACGAAGATCAAAGGTGGATTAGCCTACGATACTATTGTACCATATCACGCGACGACAAAGTACTGGCATCCGAACGCCAGTGATAGTGATATGGAAGCGGCATGGGACGCCGTTGACACCAATGCCATGGCAGTCACGCTCGACGACAGATTCGCAAAACGTGTCGGTCTACCCAACTCTACTCGGTTTCCATGGGATACCGAGAGAAGCATCTACTACGTCAAAGGAATCCATGATCTGCATTGTCTTGTACGTATACATGATGATGTTTGTGTTCATTCGCTGATGGCATCAGAAACTCATTCGGAAAGCCATCGTCTCAAAGCATAACGACAACCCACAGCCCTTCAATCTTCTTCACATCTACCACTGCCTTGACGGACTCCGGCAGGACATCATGTGTAATGCGGACGATACACCGATACCAGCCCCTGTTACACATCAGTCGGGCGAAGGTCAGCTTCGACAGTGTCGTGACTGGGACAAGCTGATTGCATGGGCCACGCGTCCTGACCAACATGCTTGCTACGAGTTTGACGATTATCGCGAAGCAACGAACACACTGGAAAACTTTGCATTCTGTCCCCCGGGTTCGCCTTACCGGGAGTTCCAAGAGGCTTATTTCCAGCATCATGGACACAAAGACGCGTATGAGCTGTATGGTGACGAAGAAGAAATCGTAGTTTTCTGAAGTCCTGGCTGAGACAAGCCTTAGGCATACCTGGCGTGGGAACGTTCCTGGCCGTTTGCGCCAATTAAAATACGAATGTACCTGTTTTGAAACCGAATCGCGGTAGCAGGGACCACTTTATCGTCAGAACTTCCGATGAACATGCAACTTAATATCGATGGAGGCTACACTACATGATCAGCATTAGCCACTAATAGTCGAACGCCATGGATCGGAAGGGTATGTACCTCAGATCTGCCCTGACCACGAAAAGCGTCAGGCAAACTCCGCGGCCAACTCCAAGGTCTACCGATGTCCCATGCCGTCAACGCTTTCTTATATCGGCCCGGGTCAACTGCATTGTTACGATGCCCGTGCGGCGAGAAGGCAAAAAGCGCAGTGCGACACTGGCATGAGTAAGGCAATCATAGAGAGTGGATGAGCGGCGTTGAAGACATGCGCGTCTGAAACTTCGGAATGGCATGATTACATGCGAGAAGTAATCGTTCCGAAAATACTACGCTGAGGTACGTAGCAGTCGACACATATATTTCGAGGTGAAGAACAACAAATCCAGCGCCACCTTCATCCCGTTCCCACACACTATCTTCGACGTAAGCTAGAATGGCTTAGGGCGCGTATACCCACTGACGCCCAGCAGAACCAAAAGAGCTCACCAAGCATATCAATTACCAACTACCTGCCATGCACGCTACTATCGCTCTACTTCCGCTGCTTGCCTTCGCGATGGGCATCGCTGCAGCTCCGGCACCCCTGCATCCTGTTGCCCGGGCCGTACCAGACATCAACGAAGTAGCCCGAAACCCGGCTCCCATCGATCATCATGTCGGTTGGGACGACCATGGCAAACCGACACTCGGAGATATCAGCCACCTCAGTCCAGAGGACATCAAGAAGCTCAAAGACCTCATCAAGCATCTACTCGGTGGCAGTCACTCTGCATAGGACCCTTTCGGAAGTCGTACATGAAGAGTGTGATATCATCCAAGGTACGCGCTCGAAACCTTGCTTTTCTAAGATGTAGCTAAAAGTGTAGCTCCAAGAATTTTCCTACAGGCAAGTATGTCACGTACTTGCGCATACGAAAGAGGTAAAGTCCTTCACCCTCATGCGTCGTCGCTCCAGCCGCCAGGGCCGTCATAGCAACATGATCAAATACGACTAATTCCGAGATTTCTACTGCTCTATCTTACTTGCTCAGCCTTGAACATTCCGATTTGTCTTGGCTAATTCCACGGCCTTTTTCATGCAACAACCTGTGAGCAGCCATCATCTGACGGGCAGCGCCACCACTGCAGCGACCGCCCCACTGCAAGCTCGCGTATCAATGGAACACTGCACAAGATATGTGCTGGCAAATGTTCCACGACGGCATTGGCCAATTGACCATCAATCGCTCGGCAACGTACAGTCGTGACACATTGTCGAGCCTGGTGTGTCACAAAGGTCACACCACGGTAGAAAATCCCAGAGTGGGCTAATCAGCGATCGGAAGATGACGAGTGTCGTTGTAGCTAACGAGCTAACATACTGGCTTTCCTCCGCCGCTTACTCCCGTAGCTTCCGACTTGTACCTTTCACTAACATACCAGCAAATCCTAACCTGACCCAAACTTCCGGCGCAGTAGCACAAACACCTCTTTGAAACAGAAGAATGTTCAACCGAGGATACACAAGCGTCTGGCCGACCTTGCATGTTCGTCCCTCTGTGTGGCTACACCTGCGCAACGTCGTACCGCTGCTTCCTGGTCTAGCAGACCCCTTTCCCCCGGTCTACTAACAATTCAACTGACTTCGCTTGTTTGCAAGTGTCTCGCTCCAAGATTAAGAGCGGATAATGACAGCGTGTGCTATGGTGATTGTGAGCGAGCCCTCAATGCAGGTTACCTACACGGTGGCAGCTCGCAATCTCACATTACTTGCACGTCATGTCGGTATTAGACGGTTGAGCGCGTTTGTAAGCTCCACCTTCATACAAACGAACAAACGACCTGTTTGCACGCCTTCCCTTGTCTATTCTTGCGCGTGATAGGCCGCGCATAATACCTCGCTACCTATTACTGGTGCACTCACTTCGTCGGTATCTAGCCATTCCAACCTCGGATACGATGCAATGATGCCGCAATCTCCTTTTGCTTCTTCCCATCATCCCCTCCCGCGCCAACCGGGAAGCAGCGCGGATGTCGGTCCGTACATCAATGTGGTTACGTGGGTTCTCTTGATTACCTCCGCGTTGGCGGTCCTGACTAGGCTTGTTACCAAGCGTGCGTTGAAGCGGAGCTTAGATATTGACGATGGTTTTGTCTTGCTGGCTTTGGTATGTCACGTTTGATTGAGCTGGATTATCGTTTCAAATCTCGCTTTTGCTGACTGATGGGAAATAGATTGCGACTATAGGTTCTGGTGTCTCTGTCAGTGTTCAGACAGGGCATGGCCTTGGGCGAGACATCCTGCTGTTGACTGAGGATCAGATCTTGGCGTATCAGAAAGTAAGCGGCTTAGTGACCGTTGACTACATTGATGTTCTGCTAAGTTATCTTGTAGGCCGAGTATGCGAACAAGCTGCTCTACATCGCGACTCTATGTTTCGCAAAGTTGTCCATCATCTCGCTGCTAAAGATTCTGACCGCATCAAAACTACACCGGATCTTAGGCTTGCTACTCACCGTCTTCATCGCTTCTTGGAGCATCCTGTCCGGACTTGTGTCTGCGTTTCAGTGCGGCGCTGAAGAGCCATGGCGCTTCCTTGAGAGAGGAGGGAGATGCTTCGACTTGGTATGTAAGAATCTTGTCATCTTCATTGACATTGCTGACACTTCGAGGAGGCCGCTTTTTGGCAGTCCGTGGGCGTCGTGAACATACTGACGGATCTGGCACTCATTATGTTCCCGGTTCACGTAATCATGACGCTACAAATGAGCACGAGCAAGAAAGTCACGATCCTGACGTTCTTCGGCGCAAGATCACTGTAAGTTTTGCATATAACTATCATAGTAGTCTTCTACTAATGCGCCACAGAGACATCGCAGCGACTGCCGCCCAAATGGCGTTCACCCACGGCTTCGCTTCACCCAACCCGACGAAAGACCTGTGGACATGGACACTCGTCACCCAGATCATTGAGTGCATCACCATCCTCACATCATGCGTACCCTACCTACGACCGCTCCTGGAGCACGTCCCATCAGGCCTCTACGGTACCGACACGATACGACACCGAGGTACGACCACAGAGCACGGCTACTCGCAGCAAAAAAGCGATTCGTATCAGCTCTCCAGCATCGCTTCGAAAGTCGGTGGCGGAACAAAACATAGTCGAAAGACTCAGGTGGAAGGTGGCGGGCTCAAACGCTTTCTACCAACGTTCTCGCACCATAGAACGACAAATGCCAATTCTGCATCAGGCATCCCTGGAGGCCCTCCGCGACCCGACGGTGAGATGGATGTTGAGATAACAGCTGTGCATCACAAACATGGCGACGAGAAGCGGTGGGATGACAAAAGATGGGAGACTGCAAGTACGGGAAGTTTTTCGAAGATCCTGAAGACCACTGTTGTTAGTGCGGAGTGGGAAGACGTAGGAGCAAAGCGTGGTGATGCTTCTAGTGATGAGATCGCTATTTTACGTTGAGATTGACTCGGTAGAGGTGCTTTTGCCGTAGCATCAAGACTTCTATACCCATTGATCTGGTGCTGAAATCTAATGAACCCAATGCTGCACGATCTTCATGATTCCTTCACCGTATCAGAAGAATTACGACACGTTTGTTGACCAGCGTCGACGTCGAAATGCCTGAATATTGTGACATCATACGCGTGAGATTACAGTCAATGCTCCGGCGATGTGGTATCCCCCTGGGCCTGTGAAGCTGTGCGAACGTTTTGCAGTGCCAATCGTCGCGTGGCTCACGCACGGGTATCAGCCTTGAAGATTAGTGAGCTGGTTCCAATTGCAACTATCCGTCTGAAGGTTTGGGACTGACATGCCACTTAGCTGCGAGTACCCAGTCGAAATTGCTTATAGGCTAGAGAACCTTGAATGAGTTTAACTTGCACGCGAGGTGGGTCAAGCCCGATACCAAGTCGGCATTCAAGTTAGCCCCACGCTTGCTCCAGTCAACAGGAAGTCGTGCGTCTTTTTGGGCTTTCGCCCCCTGTAGCATGCCGCACTTGGAGTTCTGCTAGGAGATGTAACGCGGCATGCCTGTGGCTGCATATGTCAGCCTCTAAGAGTAGATCGAGATGCAACACGCGTGAACTGCATCTGCGCAGGTTCCCGACAATAGTACGATGTCTGAGAGTCACGCTGAGGCGTGCAGGTGATGGTAGTGGACTCTGTGCAAGGGACAGAATTGCTAGACGCCACATCGAGATCGGCCTGGTTGTGTTCTGGTAACACATTCTCTGCTGGCATGGAACCTCTAGGACACAAAAGCACCACACGAGTCGTTTGGAATGCTGGAACAGATATCGCGATGCGTCATGATAGCCGTTAAGAATGCGTGCACGGATGGAGGAGGCGGCTTCCCACATGGGCAGCCGATTACTAACTAGCGTCACACAAGATGGAATGAACCCCGGAGCCACCCTTCCGTCTTCCCTCATTCCCCAACCACCGCACCGCTCATCGTCCAATTCGTGCCACGGATAATCTGCCGGGAGGTCTATGCCTTCGACTACAACGGTATGACAGCCGTTATTGTGACCACATGCCGCATGCTCTACCCTCGATCAGCATGCCGAAGGGAGACTACGGCGGCCCAATGTTGCACGCCGAGTGACATGCAGCGACGAATGACGCTCTGAACCCCTTTTCGCGATCGAAAGCCATCATGATCTACTGCTGAGTTCGGGAAGTACGAACGCCTCTTTCTTGGGCATATGCAAAGCGCGACGCCCCGGTGCAAACACACATATGTCCGTTCCAGCATCGACCATGCCGTTTGACAAACACGCGAACACCGGGGAATGTTAATTTCGCCTCTCCCTTGATACATGCTAACAAGGGGTCTGCAGGAATGCATGTCACCGCTTTCCGCAGGTTAGGCACCCCAATGGTGTGCGACCGAGGCACCAATCAACGCCCCTTGCACTGTGGGGTGCCCTCTGAAACTACGACTGCAGTGCGATACGTCGACTTGCGAGCTGCCGCCGTCACTGCAGAGAGCCTACAACTGCCTTTGCGGCGCGAAACGTTGGCTTGGTGTCTTTCACTCGGACGCTTAGTTGCATTGCCGAGCGACCGCCTCCTAGACCGACCTCACTACCGTCTTTGCCGGCGATCACCGTACTACCGCATCCACCCGTGAACATCTGCACATGGCGCACGTTACCTCTGGAGAGATATATATCGAGATTTACTTGCATTGCATGCGTCCTGTATCACGACACACCTTCTGGGTATCATCTTTCCTTTTCTGGTCTGCCTGCTTGCTCGACATTTGTTACTACGTACTGCGGTCGTATCCGTCTTGTTGCTCAACACGCCGCGGATTGAATAGCTGGAACCAAGGCTATCATGGAGAAGCATATCGAACTACAGAGGTTCAACCATGAGCCTCTGCGACCGAGGGGCCGGGGCTCCATCTCGGAAGGCAAAGGCCGGCAGTTCGACAACGACAGATATGAATTGGCGAAAGTGGGAAAGAAGCAGGTGTTGAAGGTATGCTCACTTTTGACAATATGTTTGCCCAGTCTGATCATGGTAGCGTCGCTTCGGACTGGTGTCTATGACCGGTCTCTCTTGCGGGTTGATGTGTACCTGGGAGACTTTGCTTGTGTAAGTGAATGTGATTGATACTATTCACTTCGCTGACGTCATGACAGTATCTTTTCGATAGGCTTCCACAAGTAAATATCTAATCTATGCAGGAATTCGGCAGCAACTGACGATGTGATCACAGCGGCGGGCCTGCTGGCCTCATCTACGGCTTCATTCTGATTTGGCTGGGCAACTTCTCCGTCTTCGTCTGCATCGGTGAGCTTGCGAGCGCCGTTCCGACTGCTGGTGGCCAGTATCACTGGGTCTCTTTACTGGCGCCGCGCTCAAACAGGAAGTTCTTCAGTTACGTGACCGGTATGTTCGTTCACTTACAAAGCCATTCTCATTATGTTAATCATCTTAGGTTGGCTCACTGTCATTGGCTGGATCGCAGCTCTTACTTCCGTATGCTACTTTGTAGCCGACTTGATCCTGCAGTTGGTCAGTCTGAACGATCTCGAGGGCACATATGTCCGCGAAGGCTGGCATGGTACACTTCTCCTCTGGGCTATACTGCTCTTGTGTGTCTTCATCAACGTCTTTATAAGCGGAGCCCTTCCCACGATCGAAGTCGTCGTCCTCATCGTCCACATCCTTGGCTTCTTTGGCATTCTAGTGCCGCTGATCTACTTGCCATCGAGCCACAATTCGGCCAAGAAGATCTTCACGATGTTTCACAATGAAGGAGGGTGGAGCACGCAGGCTCTGGCCTTCTTTGTGGGACTACAGGGCAATGCTTTGGCATTCGTCGGAACAGACTCAGTCGTCCATGTAAGCTCAACATTCCCAATCTGTCTTTCATTGCTAACGAATTAGATGTCTGAAGAAGTCAAAAACGCCAGCACCGACGTTCCACGTTCAATGCTTCTCAGTCTCGTCATTAATGGCACATTGGCATTAGGAATGCTCTTCGCCGTTCTCTTCAGCGCCCACGATATCCCAAAATTACTCAACGACCAAACAGCGACAACCGCGCCTTTCCTCCGCATCTTCACACAGGCTGTCGGTTCCGAAGCCGGTGCTACAGTCATGGTTGCAATCATCGTCCTACTCGAATTCTGCAGTGCAATGGGGTGCCTTGCAGCTGCATCGCGCATGACATGGTCGTTCGCCCGAGACCGCGGCCTTCCTTTCTCTCGCGCTCTCAGCATGGTAAGCACACCTACCCATCAGGAAACAACTCAAACGCATTCACTAACACCCCATACAGATCGACAAACGCAGCACCATCCCCGTCATCTCCATCCTCGTCGTAACCGTCTTCGCCGCGCTCCTCGCCCTCATAAACATCGGCAATAGCGCCGCCTTCAACGGAACGATCTCCCTCGTGCTAGAAGGTTTCTACCTCTCCTACCTCCTCGCCATCGGCCTGCTCCTCTGGCGCCGCGTCCGCGGTGACCTAGACAATCCGGACTCCTCGCTCACGATCTTCAACGAAGCGCAAGTGGACGAGGCATACGATCACAGTCTGACCTGGGGCCCTTGGCGTCTCAAGGGCGCGTGGGGCGTTGCTAACAATGTCGTTGCTATCTGCTACCTTACTCTCATCATCTTCTTTAGCTTCTGGCCTAGCCAGCCCCATCCCGATCTAGTCAATATGAATTGGGCGGGTGTGGTGACAGGGGCGGTGGCGGCGTTTAGTGTGGCGTACTATTTGCTGTTTGCGAAGAAGTCGTATACTGGGCCGATTGTCGAAGTGGATCCTCATGTGTTGTGAGGGGGATTCGGAGCGACGCTATCTGGCACCTGTAGGATCAGTGTGCAGTGAGACAACGCACCAGAGGAAGGCTTTCGAGAGTTACTGCTGTGTAGTGCATGCTAGGTGAAAAGTTCCGGCACATAGAGGCTTACTGTTGAGGCACAACAAAAGCGCGGTATATATAGACTGGACATACCCATCAACCCGACATGACTTACGAACAATACACTGGAACTTGCCTTCCACATCTATGAGGCTTTGAAGAGCTGCCAATGCCTCTCTGCACTAGCTAAGACAAAACTCCCAAAACTTCACTCACTATACACCGATTGGAACGAAAAGTTGTGATCATAATCATTCGTTATCATACATAACTCATAGCATGATGACATTTGCCTGTATATGCGCGCCTTTCAAAGCCAAAATAGTACTCATGTGCAATAGAGCGTGAGAAAAGAAGAAGGAGAACAAGAATCCAAATAACCGGCCGTAACTCGTAAAAATCCATGAAGAAGAAAATGCTGCACCAACAGCCCTATCTCCACCAACCTCCAACTTCCAGACAGAAGCATCCAGATGCCCTGCCACTTTTCCACTCCAAATTCTTGAACCCCAGGGTTCAACTTAAGAAAGCGCCCCCATAGCCAACGCCACAATCTTAGGATTCGGTTTATCCTTTCGAACCAGAACTACCAGAAGAATCAACGAGCCGTTCAAAGAAGTGTGCTAATGGGCCGAGCGAACAAGGGCTAACCTACCCTTCCGGTCTCTGTCAACGCGCATAACCTCCTTGCGGGGCGTACGCTCAACAAATTCATACTCGCGGTCGCCCTCGCGCTCGTACTTGAGCATGCGGCGCTCCTCCTCGAGGAAGCGGATTTCGTCGCGGATCTCGCGCTCGGAGCGCCGGTCGTCGCGGCGCACGAGTTGCCGGCCTTCGGGGAGGAAGGCCGTGGCGGGGCCGTGGATGGCGGCTGAGCGGTCGATTTCGACGTAGCGCTCGTGTTCGTGGATGGAGGGGGAGGGGGCGCGCTCTGAGGGGGCGTAGACGGTGGGCGCGTGGTGGGATGGGGCGTATACCATTTGGGGTGGGGGTTGTTGGTATACTGATTGTGGCGGTGGAGGAGGTGCGTGGACGACGGAAGGCGGCGGAGGCTGGAATTCTTGAGGGGGTGGTGGTGGAGGTGCGATGACTGATGCTGGTGGTGCAATGGAGGGTGGTGGCGGTGGGGCGTCCTCCACCTTCTCCTCATAGACGTATGTGATTTTCTCTGCTCACGGTTAGAAACGTTCGTGAGAACATCGTCGGATACATACCCTCTTTGTAGTTCTCGCTGATCTTGATGACCTCGTCGATGTGCTCTTTCTCGAGTGCTCTGGTAACAACGATAAAATCGTCCTGCTGAAATTAGTGACATTCCAGTAATGCGTGCGGATGGCATACCTCTTCCTCGTATGGATAGCCCAAGTCGATAACGGCTTGCTTCTTGACCAGGCGCTTAGGGAGTCTCGTCTTGCCCTTCTTGCCCCAGGTGGCTCGGGAAGGCTGGATTTCCTCAAAGCTGGAGATTGAAGAGCTGCGTGTCGACTTGGCTGCTACGCTCTTGCTTCTTCGGGCCCTGCTCTTCTCGCGGTGAACTTCGACTTCACGGTAGTCTTCTCGTTCCCGGCCCCTTCCGCCACGGTCGTCGTATCGGATCTCTTCAAAGTCATCTTCCTCGTGGAAACGACGAGGTGGTGATCGGCGACGCTCGCGGATGGGAAGTGGAATGGGAACATTGGCTGGTGGACGCCACTCGTGGTCTTCGTACCTCTCGTACCTCTCTACGTCGCCGTAACGTGGCAGAGGTTTGCGGTCAAAAGTGTCGAGAGATGATTGACGGCGCATGAACTGCGGCCGTGACGGCCTGGGCGGGCGAGGGGCTGGCCGGCGCTCATTGATGTCGATATCGATGTTGATGTCCTTGTCGATGACGGACCTGCGGCGGTAGGGGGCAAGTGCTTGGTTGGCAATCTCGGAGGGAGTCGGCTCGTGGAACATCTCGGAGGGAGCGCGGCGATGAGGGCGGTCGAAACGATCTTCTTCGTGGTAGCGTTCTCTTTCCATGACAGCGGGTCCTCGGCGTGCGCGGTCTTCATGGAAATCAATGTCACGATGGCCTCCAGGGAAACGATCGTGCTCTTGGAAGCGGTAGTGATCGTAATCGTCGCGACCACCACGGCTGCTACCGCCAGCCACACTTCCGCCCGGTGGTGGCGGAGGAGGAGGCCCCCTTCGCATGCTCTCAAACCTGTCGCGATCCCATCGCTGGGGACCGCCACGAGGCGGCTCGTCAAAGCGGTCCAGATTGCCCGTTGAAGAGCGGTACGCCGACATGTTGGGTAGTCAGGTGCGGCTCGTCGATGGGTGGTGATGTAGGAGTAGGATGCGGGGCTGCCGGTTATGTGTCGGAAGATGTCACAAGAGAATAAGGTGTGCGCTAGGAAGCACGGCAACGGGAATGCGACAGACTGACGGCGGCGCAACAAGCGGACACACGAGAATATAAGTGTCTTGGATCCAAAGCCTGCCGGAGAATTGGTGGTGGGTGGGTGCGACCAACTTTAGATGCAGGATTCGCGACTGGCTTCGTCATCGGCGCTCGCGCATCATGCCAGGGCTGCATCTGGACTGGGCGCTAACCGGCGCCATGACTGGAGGGACGCACCCCTGGTGTTACATGGTTTCTCATTTGTCGCGGAGTTCCCCATGGTTCAGTTTCATGTGAATCAATGTGGACTCGGGCTGATGTTGGGCATTTTCCGCTGTCATGTGAGATCTCGACATCTTCTTCGCCATGATCGGGAGAGCAAATACTTGGTCTTGTTGCCCAAAGGGCCTTTGTGAACGCCAGGCTATCCTTACCGTGAGTTCCTGGTCGTCGGCCGTATTGGATGGGATGCATGTCCGCAGAACGAAGTCTTGACAAGCGGTGACGTCAGGGCACGAGCTTGGAAGCGGACCGCGGCGCAGTTCACCGCCTAGCGCAGCCTCAGCCACGGTTGCTCACAGCGTTGCAACGCTGCGGCTTGGGCTTCGAAGGGAACAGACGTTCCCAACGCTTTCGGCGAAACTTATGGATGTTGGGTTGTCACCGCTGCCACGTTCCAGAGGCTTACAGACCGATGGTAGCGATACCCCGCAAACAACGTGTGTACCATGATGATGGATCTGCTAACCCCACGGAAAAGCAATAATCGACGATGACGGATACTCTTCGGTGTCGTAATCTGGCCGTCTCTTTCGTTACCTCGTTTGGAGAGGAGTCCGTAGTCTACATGATAGATGTACAGTTATGCTACAATTCGTCCAATCCCGCTCAGCGCATCGTGTCGCTTATTTGGCTCCAACAGCCTCTTGAATCTTTTTGGTTACATACTCCAGATCAAACGGCCTTCCCTTGAGACCACCCATGACTTTACCCATGACGCTGCCAAAACTCCTCTTGCCCTCCTCCAGTCCTTCGATCACGCTCTTGACTAACGCGTCCACCTCACTGTTCTCCACTAGCGGGATCTCCTGCGCATAGCCCTTCAGCACATCCAAGTGCGCCTGCTCTTTCTCGACCAGGTCCTCCCTCTTAGCGTTTCGGAACTCTTCAATTGAGGCCGAAGAGGCTTTGATCTGCTTTTGAACTAGGGAGTAGAGGGCTCCATCGGTTTCGATTGGCTTGGCAGTCTTTGAGGCGTTGATAATTTCGGCTTGCAGGGCACGGATTGTGTTTAGTGCAGGCTTGTTCTTTGCGCGCATGGCCGTCTTGAGGTCGGATTGCAGGCGGGGGAGAACAACGTTTTCCGATGCAGAAGTAGACGAGTAGCGGACGCATAGAGAGCGGGCGGGAGTGAAGAGCTGCCTCTGCAGCATTGCTGTGCGGAATAATGACATGGTGGGTGATGAGTGTTATTGCGTTGTAGTGTAGAAGTCGTACGAGGCAGGTGCGATTGCAACTAGAAGGAGCGACCACGGAAGATGTATTTGAAGTGCTGGACTGCGAATGTGTTGAGCAAGGAAACGTCGTCAGTCAAACATGGAAAGTTGAAAGCACAAAAGTTTGGACTACCAACGCGCTCAGACGCGAACAGCTAGCATCCCTGCGCGCCAAGCATCTCTTTTGTTGTGGACCGCCGTCACTTTTGCAGCTTGTACCTGAGCCTCAGCGTCGCAATTGCGCCAGAGCACCCTTTTGATCTTTCTCTCGGCGCGCCTTTCTTAATTTTATTTCATCGACGCATCCGCGCGCAGCTCATGTGCACGCCATCTCACCGGCGCGTTCCCCCAACCTCCATCTGAAGCTCGCTCTCACCCGGGCCACGACCAGCGCATCCCTTCGACTCTCCACGCAATCCATCATGGCCTTCCAGATGGCGCCCGCGACTCCGCAACGCCCCACCCCCGGCGCCTTCGTCAACACACCCGCGCCCAACCGGCCGGGGTTCACACGAACAGGCTCCATGTCGCAACCACAGCCGCAGCAACAGCAAGCGCTGCCTGCACCGCCCGCCGAGAGCCCCATCGATCGCGCATCGCGGACCATAAACAGCATGCTGGATCGGGACAACAGGTTTCCCGCGCTAGAGGCGTACATTGGACGTGAGTAGTCAGGTATAGCGGCAGAAGCTGGGTGAGATGCTAACAAGGTTGTGTAGAGGGTATCTCTGGCGAGTATGAGATCCCTAACAGCCCAGCCTGGGCGCCCTTCCAGAAACTGCGGTCATACAAACTCCCAGAAGCCGTCTTTGAGCAGGTGGACCACACGCAGATGTCGACGAGCATGGGCCTGTTCGCCGAAATCAACCACGCCTGGGTCGTCGTCGACAACCAGGTCTACCTCTGGGACTACACACATCCGAACCCCGAACTCGTCGGTTTCGAAGAGCAGCCCAGCAACATCACATGTGTCAAGCTCGTCAAGCCGCGTCCCGGTGTCTTTGTTGGCACCATCGAATACCTCCTTGTAGTCGCAACCGTATCCGACATC